TTGAATTTATGAGTCAATTAAAGCTAGATCACCATAGAAAACGTGGAAGTACTAGATGACCATTTCGTTCTAGTACGAGAATTCTCAGCAGTACGCATCCACGATCTCACCCGCAGCATTCGAATCCAGAACTTATCGGATTCACCGTCGACTGCCGGCTCAGTGATCTAGTGGTTAAGCGTTCACGTATGAAACTGATAGGTTCTAGGTACGAATGCCGCAGGCGGGATCGTGGATGCACACTGCTGAGGAATCCCATACTAAGACAAAACAGCTGTTTAGTGATTCCAGGTTTTCCATGGTAGTTCAGCTTTAATTGACTTATGAATTCAACTATTAAAATTGCTATAATATCCATAAAATTCCCTTTCTGAAAACATATTTATTATCTGCTTATATCTGTATATTTTTGTTAGCACTATGAATGTGTTTCAGTGGTTATATGTACAACTAATATCTTGCTCAATTACGTGAAAATTGATCAGTATAATATTAAATACGTAAAGCATGGTACAAATATGCATAAGTTCAAGTAGGAACACTAATTCACAGCATCACACAGTTGAATGGAAATAATAACAAAGTCTATTTTTAAATAATTGGCATAAATGATAATAAAGGTCAAATATAGAAGATATAGAGGTTGAAAGGATTATACAAAAGCCTGGAATAGAGGGCGTGAAGTAACGTATAAAATTCTAAAAAAAACTACGAGGTAAAGAACAAGAAAATCCGTACTAATCTAACCAACTTTCAGATACGTTACGTCGTGTCAACAACCACTGATGTTACACAGGCTCTGAAGAACAAGTAGCATTACTCAAATCAACACTTAATGAATAGATCCAATGATATTGTTTTTGTTCAACCAACACTTAAACGTCTTCCAGTTGAATCATATCCTTATCTAGCTTAAGACCAATGTGCTCCAAAATGCCCTGGTACGGCCGAGAGTGGGGAGAGTCAACTCTCCCTCTCCAAATGTTCTCACATGGCCACGTGTATACAGCCACTACTCACTGCCTTATCGTAGCATTACTGTTAATTACGAAATTGAGAGGAGTAAAATCAAATATCCGACGCTTTAACAGGGTTGGTGAAAGAGTTGGAAAACCCCAATTCTAAATCAATGGTGTACATGGACTCCAGGATTCTGAAGGAACAAATGGTGTATGAACCAACTAGTGGTCACCGACTACTATGGGACTGCATTTCCTAACATTGCTCCACTTCCTTGTGAATTACACATATAGGTCAAAGTCTCTGGGTATGAGCCCTTTAAGAAAACCACATGCTTCTGTTTGGGAACCCCCGGGTAGTAACCCAACCCTGACATAAATCGAATGATTTATGTGGTGGTGTAATGTTTATGTGTTTAAATAAATAAAACCAATATGTTATCCATTGTTTAATGGCATAAAATATAATTTACATTAATATCAAACCTTATAAAAACTAACTATTCTCTTACTTCATAATAACACACAAATTATCTTTCATTGGACTTTTAATTTCACTCAAAAATCTATATTATATTATATCTCAATTCTGATTGGTTCATTCAGTGTCAGTAGTATGAATATACTTTAATCGCTTTTTAACTTAATTGTGCTTCAATCAAGTATTACATGTTTAAGTAGATGGTTTAACATACATAAACATTTTAATCGATGGAGATGAGAGGAATTAATAAACAAATGATTAACTTTGTACCATCCTACTTAACCATAGTATATTGATCACTCATGTTTACTTCACGAAAAAAAAAGAGTACTGTTTCATAAAAACATGTAATCAGTTGTATATTTTCATTTCTATAAGACTGTTACAGTCAGTCAGTTAGTCAGTCAGTAACAACGTAGAACTTCGTACGTATGTACATCAGTTCAAGTTGCCACACCACATTAGCACAGAAATGCAGTTGTTGATTCAAATCCCGTAGTCGTAGAGGCGGTAAGAGTATAAGCAGTAATCGGAAAGATTAGGGATTGAAGATGTTATTCAAGGAGTATAATTTAGTGAAATAATATTGGAAAGAGAAAAAAGAGATTGTTACACAGTCATAGAGTAATAGAAAGCAAATAACTTTGCAGTAAACTTGCTCTTTGTTTAACAGACTGAAAACTGATGCTATTCTAAGAAAATATAAGTGAGATTTTTAAATCCATGATGAGATCAAGTTAATAAGATAAATGAAGTGAATAATAAAAGTACTTAACTACTTAAATAAGTATTATGATATTGTATAGAAAAAATTTACAATTTACGTATATAGCTCAAAGGCTAGAAAAAATATTAAACTAATCATTTGAGTTCAAATCTCTATTATCGTAAAATATGTATACTGAATTAGAAAAATATACTACTATTAATATGAATTGATACTTTGGTTATCACTTATTCATATCTTCTATAAAACAGTTATTAAAACATGAAATTGACTATATTATATATACGCCCCCAAATGCCCTGGTACGGCCGAGAGTGGACAGAGTCCGCTCTACCTATCGAAATACTCTCGTATGGTCACGCGTATATAGCCTCTGTCAGGGAAGTTCTACTCATTGCTTTATCGTAGCATTACTGTTGTTTACGAGATTGAGAGGACGAAAACCGAATGTACGGCGCTTTAACCTGGTTGGTGGATACAGAGAGTCAACCAACGGGAGTTGGAAAACCCTGATTCCAAACCAATGGTGCAGATAGGCTGGCTCCAGTATCGTGAAGGAACAAATGGTGTATGAATCAACCGTTGGTCGTCGGCTACTATGGGAATCCATCTCCTTACGATGCTCCACTGCCTTGTGGATCAGACCTTCAGGTCGAAGGCTACTGGTGTGGCCCCCTAAGAAAACCACCTGTTTCGGTTTGGGCATCCGAGCAGTATCACAGCCCTCACACATATGAAATGAGATTTGTGTGGCGTATATGTATTTGGTGCTTCCTTGTACCAATATCTATGTGTTAAAATAAACTAAATAAATTATATATACATACACAATTACCAAATTAATTTAATAGTATTTTATAGATGGTGGAGAAGATTGGTAGCTCAGATGGATGATTTTGATGAAGTTTCGTTCTTTGAGCTCATTAGTTTGGTTTTCGAGCTTTCATCGTTCTTCTGAACGAAATCATTACCAGGACAAACTTCAGACAGAAGTGAAGTGTTCGAATTTCTCTACATATGGTTCACAGTTTGTCCTGTACAACTCGATGTTGATTAATTCCTGTTGGCCTTAAATAAAGGAGTAAACAATGACAGGTTTAGGTTCAACAAGAATCAATCAACATCGACGTGTACAGAACAAGCTGTGAACCACATGTGGAGAAATTCGAATACTTCACTTTTATCTGGAGTTTGTGCTGGTGATGATGTCGTTCAGAAGAACGATAAAAGCTCCACAACCAAACAATCCAGCTCAAAGAATGAAACTCCGTCAAAATAGTAATTTATATATGATTTACATTCTCACAAAGTATCTTTTTATGCATTTTGATACTTATTTTTTCTAATATATACTTCATCAAAAAGGGTTTATAAAAGTGTAAAATAATGCTTTTTTATTGAGATCATGAACCGATTGATTTCAGACCACCTTTGGAAACCTGGAAGCACTGAACGACCACTTCGTCCTATTGTGGGACTCGTCAGCTGTGCACATCCACGATCCCGCTCGCGGGATTCAAACCCAGGGCCTTCGGTCTCGCACGCGAATGCTTAACCAATTGGACCATTGAGTCAGCCAGTATCCAGCGGTGATAATGTCTAACTTCAACCAATCCACGATACTGAGCGACACATCCATCATTGTCATCAGTGAGTTACTATCTCATAAGAGACCTGGTTGAACAACTCCACTGATCATAGCTTCTAACTAGAACTCCAGGAAATACCTCTTGAAGGTAGTCACTAGTGACTATATGATGATTATTATCAGGTGTTTAAATCAACTGTATACCTTAAACAATTGAGTAATAACAATTGAACAACTAACTATCTCTCACATAATTTAATCATATGATATTGCCTTTATTTAACAACGAATCTATCATCAAACCAACAAAAAAATCTACTAAATTTACATAAGATTACATGACAAAGTTATATCACATAAAACCACAATCTAATAAAGACCATTTGAACAGTTAAAATCTATCTATCATACTTGATAAGTTACAATCATATGATCATAAGTCTACATTTGATTGATATAAACATGGTTTCACTTTTACTTATATCGAAATAAAATAGTAAAACAAAAATTTAAGAAAGAATTGTATTGCTACTAGATTTACGAGTTTAATTTAATGCAACCATAGCAACAACAACAACAACAATAACAACAATAACAACACCACCACCACTAGCAACAGCAGGAACAAAAACTATGATCAACAAAGTAGCAACAGATTTGTGATAACAGTCTTCCGATTGATTAGAATTCAACAATACAATTAAAGGTTAGAAGTAATTGAGTATTTTATTTATGCAGTTTAAAAATCCTCATAGAATGTTCAAAAATAAAGAATATTTGAGCGAACCATTGTTTCTGCAATCATTTCATCATCAGGCTCTATACAATTATAAGTCCATAATGATTGTGATATTTTACAAAGGCTAAAAATATAAGGCATGGCATTAATGAATTTGACAATGTTACGTGTTAAAAAATGATGCACGTTTCCATCTGTTACGATAAACGTGCACCATTTTTTAACACGTAACATTGTCAAATTCATTAATGCCATGCCTTATATTTTTAGCCTTTGTAAAATATCACAATCATTATGGACTTATAATTGTATAGAGCCTGATGATGAAATAATTGCAGAAACAATGGTTCGCTCAAATATTCTTTATTTTATTTATGATTGTTGAATGACATGTTCACCAATTTGTTTAGTACATACAGATTGTACATGTTGTAATCTTTCATCAGATTAGTGTTTGATATATTTAATTCTATTTAATTTCTATTTTATCTATTCCTCTTAGTATTACAATTTGTAATGATACACATCTATACTAGATCTAATGCACCATATTGAAAATCTATAACATTACTCATTATACAATTCATTGACATACATAAAGATAGATGGAAATATTTATGTAAATTAAATGAGAGGACATATCTTATGATATATCATATGAACACAGTAAACACGTAAACTGTATACAATAGATCAACAACACTGTACTATGTACTTTAGACATCTAGTACAAATGTTTAGGGAACTGTGTGTTGAACATACAGTTCGTTATTATCAACAGTAACATACAAGTCTGGAAATGTATTAGGATACTATCTGTTAAATCCTTCTAGATAATTGTTAGCATAGGTTATTTGTAGTTATAAGTCAAGGGAAATTATTGAAAACAAAGAAGCCTCAACAATTTCACCTCACTGTTCTATGAGATATATGGTAACTTGAACCGATGTACACATATCCCACGTCCAACGTTGCACACTTGACTGAGTATGGAACTTTTCAGTGGTGCGCATTCACTATCTCATCTGAGATTGAACCCAAAACATTCAGGTATCACTAAGTCTTTCACATTTGGATCATTGAGACAACAGCCAATAGTTCATATTTCTAGTTCCGATCGATTCGAAATGTTGTGAAAATTGCTTGACTCCAACATGATTGATCTTGCCGGTGGTTCTTATTAAAACTCTAAGAACGACCTTTCGAAGTTAGTCCATAGGATATTTAGTATAGAATTTATGGTTTGACATCACACACCGACTTCATTTGGACAAGTATATTCACAAGTATATATTTCAAATAAACAGGAACAATTATTCTGTAGAATAAATATACTAACTGAATTCTCTCTAGAACATAGTTGTACAATTAATATATGTATCAACCAATATGAATGAGTGTGAAAATCCATTAGTCAACATTTATTATGAACAGGGAGTCCAGTATCGAAAATAGATTCATATTATCATCCCTTGAAACTTTTTAAAAAAAAAGAAGGATAAATATATTTATGAAGAGTAGTGGCTAACCTATTGTGAAGATTTGTCAGTTGGACTGAAGACCGAATTCTCGGGTACTTCAAATTCCACTCTAGATAATCAGAAAAAAAGGAAAGAAAAGAAAAATGTGAGTAATTAAAGAGAGAAAAAAAGAATCATCGGAAGGGCACACTGTATGTAAACATGTGTTTAATTCATAGTAATTGGATGACCATGTGATTGGAAGTAATTACAACACAGAAAAAAACAACTTTTATCATCAATAATTTAAGGCTTTTTTCCTTCATTATTTGTGAATGCTACATTCATAGAAACTGATATTCTACATGACATTTTTCTTTTGTCAATCATAAGTGTTACATAGCTATTCTCATTCAAATATAGATAGAAACAGCAGAAAATTGAACACCAAACACAACCATTATTAATAAAAGTCTATGACTGCTTTATATATATATATATATATATATATATATATATAGATAGATAGATAGATAGATAGATAGATAGATGGATAAAAGTATCTTCTATAAACTATTTGATTACTCTAATCTAATCAATATTAACCTATATTTTTCTTCAATCAGTTCTAGTTGATTGCATAGAATAATAACTTAGATTGACATCATGAATAGATTAATGTTAGACAACTATTGAAAACACAGAAGCACTAGATGACCGTTTAGTCCTAGTGTGGAACTACTTAGCAGTGCACATCCACGATCTCACCTCGTGAGATTCAAACCAGAGACCTTCGGTTTCGCGCACTGAATTGGCATCCAATGGTGTTAATGTCTAACCTCAACCAATACCGTCCACTCATTGTCCTCAGTCAGTAACTGACTCACAACAGACCCGGTTGAACTCCACTGGTCACTGTTACTGACTAGAACTCCAAGAAGTTCATCTTGAAGCTAGTCACCGTCGAATACCAGCTCAGTGGTCTATAGGTCAAGCGTTCGTGCGCGAAACCGAAGATCCTAGGTTCGAATCCCTTTGGTGTGGGATCATGGATGCGCACTGCTAAGGAGTTCCACACTAGGACGAAACGGTCATCTAGTGCTTCCATGTTTTCAATACTTGTCTAAAAATAATCCATTTCATGATATTAATCTAAACTCAACAATCTCCATATGAATATAAATGCAATGCGTATCAATGACATATTGAATCTCTATTAGGATCACTTAAACTTTAATCATTATTTCTAACCAAGTGAGATAAAGTGAAATAATCATCTTTTCTATACCGAATTTCATCTATACAAAATGACTAATATTTCAATCATGTAATTATTAAACGAATCATCATATGATCAAAATACCATTTTCTTTGATATAATCACTATGATGTAAATAGAATTACCTTCCATCTTTAGAATACTACTACTACTACTATGGTGATATTGAATAGTTTCAACAACACAAAAATAAAAACATGGAAGTGAATGATTAACTGTCATGGGTGTGTTTGTTTTTTTATAAACACACTAGAAAACTCAATGATTAGAACAATATTGCTTTTGTTATATACCGATGAGAGTATTGAATGGTAACGTTTAGGATCCATTTATAGATCAATACTATACACGTATATTTTTATTGTATAATTGTTAAGTAACTCAACTATGCATATTCATATTCCTCTTATTGTAAGATTTATTTTGACCTATGGAGTATTATGATACGATTTAGCATTCTTGAGTTATACCCTGTCTATCAATTACTATCTCCTTTATTCACAACCACATTTGGCTAATTCTTGTACAAATGTTGTATCCTATTTTATGGTACGCTATGGCCTGTTTGATTGGTGTATAAACCGAGTATGTTTGAAATAAATGATTCATATCGCAAAGGCTGAGATTGGTGTTCTGAACTTAACAAGCAGGAAGCACACCCGATAAAGACTCTAGACTGCTCATACTTGTTTTATGCGTCGTCATTGGTCCGGTCGATACTTCACTATTCTCTGATTGACAGTATTATTACGTTATACATTGATAAGGGTACAAACCCACAAGTTATAACAGTTTTCAATCAGATCTTCAGTAAATTTTACTCTAATATATAGAAATACTTCGATACATGAAGAAGAAAAAAAGCATTCAATCAATCAAGGTAGTTTTGCAAAAGATGTCTTGGATGATAATGGTTAATTAGGAAGGATTATTAAGACTGTAAAATACAGTTTAAGACACGAAATATTTGAAAAATGCGTAAAAGAATAGAACTTTCTAATTGAAATATATATCTATATATATAGATGATAGACAGTGATGAACAAAAAGGTATTTCCTGGAGTTCTAGTGAGAAGCAGTGATCAGTAGAGTTTAACTGTGTCTGTCGTGAGATAGTAACTCACTGATGACAATGGTGAATGTGCATATCAATTTCGTGGACTGGTTGAAGTTAGACATTAACACCATAGGATGCCGGCCGGCTCAGTGGTCTAGTGGTTAAGCGTTCGCATACGAGACAGATAGGTCTTGGGTTCGAATCTTACGAGGTGGGATCGTGAATGCGCGCCGCCGGGGTGTCTCACAATAGGACGAAACGGCCGTCCAGTGCTTTCAGGTTTTTCATGATGGTCTAGCTTCAAATGACTCATGATCTCAACCATTAAAATTACTATAATATCCACAAAAACCCTTCTGATATGACAGATAAAAATGACGACTGTGACAAACATAAGATTATACTAGTTTATTTTACAAAATTCAGAAAATTTTACAGTAATTTATAGGACAGATGATTTAAACTAATGGATTTGTTGAGATATTGTTAACAGTGTTGACATTTACGATGGGAATATAAGACAGAGAAATTAAACTCTGAAAGAGATCTTGTTGTTTTTCTATGCAGTCTCAATATGTAAATAGTGGCAAGGTTAGATGGAGAGAACTAAGAAAAGATGGTAAGTCGGTTGGTGAAGCTGTGAATCTTCATAGGCTGAGGTATATGAAACACGTGTTCTCCGTTCTCCAATATTGTCTACCTTGAATCTTGATACTGACTAATGTAACAGTGAGTTGTAGTAAGTCTATGGGGAGATAAACTAAGACCAATGATTAGTTTATCAGATTATAGTGAGCATCATTTCTGCCACAATTCTATACATACCTCCTGCTTACAACTTCCAGTTAACATCAAATCTATGTCTAGGATTTTCTGCCGATTAACTACGACCATCTAACATACATACTTATATTCGTCACTTAAGAAATTGTTAGATCATCCCGTACAATCGATATACATAACCCATTTTCAAGACAGCATTGTTATTATTGTTACTACACAATAAATAGATACAAAGCATTATGGAATAGCAGAATTTATGCATTAGATAAACTAACAAGCTATATTAAATAATTTAGAGCATATAGCATTTTGATACACAGATAATTCGAATTAAAGTACACCAGAAAAGAAATTAAGATTAAAAGGTGAAATTAAGTTAGAAACAAAAATATACCGATAACCAACTGCTCGAACAAAAGATTGGAAATTACTTTCATTGTGAACTGTAATCATCAGTAGGGTAGTTGAAAACTAGTGAGAACCAGGCAAATATTTTTTTTAATAGGTTGAAATCATAAGTCAATTGAAGCTGGATCATCATGGGAAACCTGGGAGCACTGGACGGCCGTTTCGTTCTAGTACGAGACTCCTCAGCAGTGCGCACTCACGCGGAATTCGAACCTGGGACCTACTGGTTTCGCACGCGAGCACTTAACCACTAGACCACTGAGCCGGCCGGCATCCAACGGTGTTAATGTCGAACTTCAATCAATCCACGAAGTTGCGCCACCGTACATCATAGTTTTCAGTGAGCTGATATCTCAAAACAGACCTGGTTGAACTCCACTGGTAACGGCTTCTCACTAGAACTCCAGAAGTATCTCCTGAAGTCAGTCACTAGTAAGCAGTTGACTAATATCAGAATGGGTTTAGCGGAGATTTTTTTTCTAGTTAAGAACTGTTTCGCTAATACCCATTGGTAACATAGCACAGAGTCATAGCAATCAAGAAAACATTGATGAACCACAGATTTGCAATTCAGTATTTTGCACTTCTTAATTTCAAATGCCTAGGAATATAATTTAATCATGATACAAACTGTACAACTATCGTACTCCTTACAAATTATGGTTGTTTACTATAATCGAAAGTTGATCCAATACTCTTAGGGATTTTAAATAGTCCTGCAGTTAGTTTTTAAATTCGAAATAGGAATTACTTTTGAGGTTTTTATTTCATACAAAACATGATGATTTTTTCCATTGAGCAAATTATCGTTTCAATATACTATTGTTGTAGGGTGTTGCGGAGATTGATGGATTTGAATGTCCATATCGTGGACTAATTTTGGTTAGACAATCGTTGAAAACCAGGAAGGACTGGAAATTTATCTGGTCATAATATTGGACTTCACAGTAGTGCATACTCACGAGTGTCCTGGGGATAAAACCTAACGCTTTGAAATCGATAATCTCTATAATACTCTATAATCAAAATTGTCATCTACTTACTAGTGACCAATTTTAAGAGATGATTCCTGGAATTATAGTGAGGGGATTCAACTATATCCGAAGTGAAATAGTTACTGATTTATAGCATTGAATAAAAGTCATGCTCGATTAAATGAAGAATAAAAACAATAGGATTATAACTCAGATATCTAAAGCTGAAGCGTTTTCCATAAGGCTTGAAGGTTTTAGACTCAAACTCTAATGAAATCGTAGATAGATACCACCGGGATAGGATAAATTTCCAGTATTTCCTAATTGAAGTGAGTTCGTGATATAAGAACTTCAGTGGAACATGATTAACAGATTATTACTATGAATAAGATAGATAATATATCAATCTAGGCAAATTACTTACGTACTTGTATACTTGTATTTAAAAATATTATGATGTGAACATCAGTAAAAATAGCATACATAATTTATAACTAACCTAATGTCTTATAATTTAAATAATTGACTGATCCATTAGATGAATAGTTATTCATTGGAAAATATTGTACCCTAATATCATTTGTATAGAACAATGATAAAGAGATGAATATAAACATTAGAATATAGGTGAGTTAATGAAAATTAAACAAACTATATTGTGTAGAATAATAATAATAAGCCTATTACTAAAAACAAAAAGATTAAAGACAATCATATCTTTGAGTAAAGCAACCCAACTGCGTCACAAGGCAAACCCTCACATGGAATCCTCAAGGCCAAAAAGAGAAGAGAAAGACCGAAGAACACACTATGCAGAGAAATGGAAACAGACGTGAGAGAAATGAACAAAAATTGGATAGAACTGGAAAAGAAGGCCCAGGACATAGTGTATTGGAGAATGCTGGTCGGCGACCTATGCTCCATTGGGAGTAACAGGCGTAAGTAAGCAAGTAAATTGTTTTGGTGTAACGGAATCCGATAATTTAAGGTATTCATAGAGGTCAAAATTGATAATAAACTCGTCTTTCATCTTCCTTAGGATTTTCATTAACATCTGCTCCGTTTTTTTTTCAGTTTCGTCTTTTTGAACGATTTCTTTGAAGGAACTCTTTCTTTGTACTATGTAAATTCACATGTGTGATTGTAGAATTGCACTAATCATAATGAAATCTTATATGTCAATTAAAATGAAAACAATTTTTTAATTAAAAGATCAACTTCCCAAAGGAAAACAAAATTATAAATAGTATTATCCAACAGACGAAGATAATGTCTACATAGACAATGTTACGAATCTTTTTCCGAATTAAAAATATAAATGAATACTAATTTATCTATTTGAGCACATAAATATTGGTACAAAGGGGCACCGAATACATATGCACCACACAAAATTTCATCATATTTGTGTGTGGGCTGTGATACTGCCCGGATGACCAAACCGAACCAGGTGGTTTCTTTAGGGGGCCACATCCGGAGCCTTCGATCTAAAGGTCTGATCCACAAAGCAGTGGAGCAACGTCAGGAGATGCAGTCCCATGGTAGCCGGTGACCAACGATTGGTTCATACACTATTTGTTCCTTCACGATACTGGAGCCCATGTATACTATTGGTTTGGAATGAGGGTTTTCCAACTCCCCTAGGTGAATCCTCCATATCCACCAACCCGATTAAAGCGCTGGACCTCAGTTTTGTATCCTCTTAATTGCCTAAACAACAGTAATGCTATGACAAGGCAGTGAGTAGGACTTCCCTGGCAATGACTGTAGACGCTAAATCTTTCCACCCTCGACCGTACTAGGTCATTGGGGGGCTTTTTTCTAGATTACAGATATATATGAATGATAATTATTTGTTCCAATTGATTTCTTGTTCATTTTTTAATATTCTATGGAGATTTTTAAATTACTATTACACATTTTTTTCTCCATTTATATAAAATCCCCTTTCGAAAGTGAAAAAGACACTGGTGAGTGACGATTTTTCAAACAGTTCTGCTAAGTGATATATGAGAGAGAGAATTCGAAACTTGACCATGAACCAAAAACTAAAACATTTAAATCGGTAATACAGAATTCAAGTAGTTAGTCAGTGATAATCTCTGTTTGGTTATAAACTTATTCAGAATAACTATTAATGTTGTTCCATCAGAAGGAATATAAAAATATAATAAGCATCTAGTAATTGAATTGATTTCCTATAAGTATTATTCGAAATGTATCCAGACCAAATAGATTGTTATTAAGCGAAAAATCGATCAAAATATCATAGGTTGGTACGATAATTTTACCATACCATCATGATACAACAAAAGAATTGCAATGAATCCTAAAACTACACAGAGTTAAGGTGTGTTTTTTTTAAAATAAAAATGACCAACACTTGAAAATGATTAAGTTTGAATAAAGGAAAGCATTTCAATTACATTTACACAGAATAACAACTAAAAACTAGGTTGTATCGATTGTGATCTATACTACATGAGAAAGTTTCATAAAATCTTACCACATTTCAAGGAATATTTAAACCACACAAAAAGACCTAGTAAGTCTCTGTAGAACTCAACATTCAAGTATCCAAATAATTCAAAAATAAAAACATTTATCCAACTGTAAAGAAAGGTAAATGGATGAAACACTTTGTGCATGGCTGAATCGTACCGCACTCAATCGAACATAACGCTACCCATCCAACTTGAACCATCTCTTTAAATAACCACATTTAGACCTGTTCAAATCTTACATTTTAAACAAATAAAAACTGAAGGGAATTCAAAGAAAAAAATTTTTCTTTTCGATGAAGTGATTTACTTAAACTGTACATTCGCATTTATGGTTGTTTGGTAAATATATGTCTATATAAAGATTTCATTATAAAGTGATTCGAGATTTCAAATATCAAATGAAGTTGTGTAATAATAAGGGGGTAAGAGAAGGATAGGAGGATAAAAATAAATTACGAGCCATAATTATTGTCTTCTCAAGTAGGCCTACCACTCACGGATGTGTTAAGGATAAGCTTCGGCTTTGAGTCACATCGATATGCATCTATAAATTTACTTGCTTCTATCGGGTAGGTTACATTGGCCGTACAAAGAGATCACTTTCGAAACGCATTTCAGAACATTAATTGGCGTGACTATTAAAAAACGGAATGCAAAACAATCACCAATTCAATACAACACCACCTAATCAACTCTGTACTCATCACTCCAAAGAACACTTCCTTCAAAATAATCTACACAATCAAAGGAAATGTGGATTGAAGGGAAACATAATCAAATACTTATGAAGTGCTGAAGCGTTGGCGATACTTTATTTATTTATTTTAACACATAGATATTGGTACAAGGAAGCACCAAATACATTTGCACCACATAAATCTCATTTGATTAATGTGAGGGCTGTGATACTGCTCGGGTGCTCAAACCGAAACAGGTGGCTTTCTTACAGGGCCACACCCGCAGCCTTCGACCTGAAGGTCTGATCCACAAGGCAGTGGATCAACGTCAGGAGATGCAGTCTCATGGTAGCCGGTTACCGACGATTGGATCATACGCCATTTGTTCCCTCAGGATCCTGAAGCCCATGTGCACCATTGTTTTGGAATGAGGGTTTTCCAAGTCTCCTAGGTGAACTCTCCATATCCACCAACTCGGTTAAAGCGTCGGAAACTCGCTTTTCGTCCTCTCAATTTCCTAAACAACAATAATGCCATGAGAAGGCAGTGAGTAGGACTTGTCTGGCAATGGTTATATACGCGTGGCCGTGTGAGAGTATTTCGAGAGGGAGAGTGGACTCTCTCCACTCTCGGCCGTACCAGGACGTTTGAGGGGATAGAAAACCTGGAAGCACTGGACGGTCGTTCCGTAGTATGGGACTCCACTGAACCAAGTTATGCGACACACTTATCCAAGACCGAATTTTTCATGCAAAACGACGTATCCAAACTTTTATCCTTCGTTGGCCCTAATTCACTTCTGCAGTATGTTTTGACTTTGTTTTATTTTTATTATTATTTTGTCATTTTAAACCGTAATACGGTTATTATTATCCTTTAATAGTTTCTCATGATAATTATTATATCGTTTCATTTTTCTTCATATTACCTTTAATCCAAATGACATCATCGATATAATCAAACTTTATTGTATGTACTAGATAATTGAGTTCATTTTATATCTGTACTACCTAAACTTATGTTAATTAGGAAAAGTGAATTACATCAAGTCATAGAAAGTCAAGATTTAAACTTTCTATTTATTGGAATATTACAAGTACATTATTATTTTATCATAATAGTCAGTCAGTCAGTAACAACGTGGAACTTCGTACTTACGTACGTACATCAGTTCGAGTTGCCATACCACAGGTAATTTTATCATAATAAATAATCTATCTAATGCTTAATTTAATTTTAAATTACTAAGTCAAACCCCGTTAGTGACGCTTAGATAATCACTAAGGCATCATATAATAATAATAATAATCTGACTCAATTATATCAAGTATGTACTCTTGAATCTAACTGTAAACAAATTCAGACAGTATTTCAATGTAATATATTATATGATTAAACAAAATGAATAAACTAAATAATATGTAATTAAAATTGTAATCTGTAGATGATAAACATATTAACCGAATTGCTGAATAATAAGTCCTAATAAACTCATGAATTAATCCAAATAGTACGAAACCTAGATCTAGGGTTTCCTTTCAACTATACCTCTAAACACCACATTATATCTTAATATAGCTACACAAGAGTCGCTTAGACCAGTGGCTACATTGCAAATTGATCGATAATATTCGATCCACACTAAGAAGGTCCTGATATATATGACACTGGTCAAAATGAGTAAAAGAATAAATGAAGACAATCAACCATAAATAACCATAATAAAACTGATATCATACTTGAGCACTAACCAAAACAGATCATTTCTATATAAGGTAGGTGTGTTGTGTTGATGATGTTATTGTTTAGGACAATTAAGTCAGAGCGGTTATCGATGTATAAATAGAAAGAGTTGTATATTGTTTTAGAAGTTCAAATGATTTGAAATGATTTTTGACACTACGAATGAAACTCCATCTGCAACTCTTCTAGAGTTACTGGCGGTCCCAAGCCCGGGTAAAAGAGGAAGGTTTGGGATGGAATTAGCGACCCGAGCTCGTAGAAAACTGACTCTCTAAAAAAAACGCTAACCAGGAATTTATTCACTAACTGAGAAATAATTCAATGATCATTCAAATCAGGCTTATCTATTAAGAATACAAATTTATTTAATAGATGACACCAAAATAAAGACAAACAACAGATCAAAATTTGGAATCATATAAAACAGAGTAAACGAAATCTCAAAATGATCTCATTCATTTTAAAATTTATATATAATACAATCGAAAACGATGGTAAGTAGCAACACTGTCCTCACTACCTTGTATTCTGGGACTATGTTTGATAGAATCAAATTCCAATAAGTTAAATGATCTGTACAACTCTAATCTAAGTTATGATGGATCAATAAACATTACCCAATCGTATACAATAATGAAAACTGTTTGGAAAATTGTATCTTTAGGAGAATGATGTAATATTATGCCTATCCAATATGAAGTATATGTCAGTATTGAGCGATCAATCGAATTGAGACAATATGACCAATGTAATCATGATCTGAACAAAATCATACATAATCTACACAAGCTATTTATCTATAAATTTATCCTAATTGATTCAGTAAAACATAAGTCAAGATTTTACGAAGCAACATATGTATCGAATAATACGGACAGAGATGATATTGGGTTTGTTATGTCTGAATACCAAAAATACTTATTTTAATCATTGTTTTTTTGCACCTTTTTTTCCATATTCAAAATACTTACATACTATGGTATTATTATTATTATTGATGGTATAATGCAACATGTAACGTTTAGGAATGAAACTGATATGTTCATACTACATAGATAATTGATGTGGAATCGACTCCAAGTTCTACAGGTCACGCATCGAACTTCTGATCAATAGAACCACCAGGTTGATATCCAATGGCACAATTTCACCTTCATGCATCACAGTTTGCAAAGATGGCATGACTGAAAAAACCCCCTATCAGCCCATGAATCAGATTGGCTGCTAAGATTTAAGATTTCAGGTGCATAACCTTAGTGTAAAAACACTAAACAGAAATATGAAATAAAACTACAAGGCACGTTTAAACAGCATTATTACATGCACGATTTATTTATTTATTTATTTATTTTAACACATAGATATTGGTACAATGAGGCAACAAATAAATATGCGCCATACAGATCTCATTTGGTATGTGTGAGGGCTGTGATACTTCTCGAGTGTCCAAAGAGAACTAAGTGGTTTTCTTAGGGGGCCACACCCAGAGTCTTCGATCTGAAGGTCTGATCCACAAGTCAGTGGGGCAATTTAAGGAGATGCAACCCCACAGTAACTAGTGACCAATAATTGATTCATATGCCATTTGTTCCTTCACGATACTGGAGGCGATGTACACCATTGGTTTGGAATCAGGGTTTTCCAACTCACCTAGGTGGACTCTTCGTGCCCACCAACCCGGTTAAAGCGCCGGATATTCGCTTTTCGTCCTCTCAATTTCGTAAACAACACCTCCGACGCGAGAAGGTAGTGAGTAAGAATTCCCTGGCAGTGGTTGTATGCACGTGACCATGTGAGAGCATTTCGAGAGGGAAAGCTGACTTTCCCCACTCTCGGCCGTACCAGGGCATTTGTAACTCTAGAAAAAAGGAACCCATGAAAATGAAAATACAAGTAGGCTTTTTTAAAAATTATCATCATCATTCCTCGCAACTGGAGTGTGGCTCATATCCAAGTACCTGATGAACATTGTATTGACTCGCAGTGTAGTGGACGAACTTAGAGGCCAAATGAATAGATAGTTCAGATGACAGAACACACTGGAAGATGCAAATGGATGTTTGAAGGTTATGTATATGTATTATGTAAATACTTAGTAACTTTTCGCAATAAATACACCTTTCTCTTGCTTATTGCCATCTTAACAACATCATTGCATTAATTCCAAAAGGAATCATTCAAAAGTATTTCTCAAATCGACAATTTACTTGACTTTAAAGATCCCATTTACGCTTAGCCACCACTTTCATATATAGCTTAGAAGACACGTGGAATAGATAAGTTCACTGATGTCACATAAGAAACAAAACATATAAAGAAAGTTGATTAGATGATGTTCATATTGAGAAGCAGATTACGAGAAAAAAGAGAAATAAACTTACGTCACTTGATCATCTCTGTAAGTAGGCAGAGAATTTCCAGTGTCTCCAACATACGGTAGGTAATATAGCTATGAAAGTTATAAAATATACTAGAGTATATAAGTAGAAAAATAGACAAATATTAGTAATGTTATTATCATCATCATCAGTTGAGTCCATTGACTTAGTTTGTGAAATTTAAGGCAAAACATTGTGAATTACCACAATTTGCAAATATATGAATCATTGAATGCTTGCTAAGTTATCTGGAAGACCTCAAGATCCTGAACTCGGCCACTGCCTTGGTTGCGGGTTTGAACTAGAGCGAAACAAGTACGTAATGAAACTCAGGTTTCGATAATTATTCAATTAAAGTCAATTGGTAATATAAACTATCATCAATGCAGTATCTGAGAAAGTAAATTCATTAGGATCATAGATTAGTTTTTTGAGAAATTGTGAACATTCTTGGCAATATTTCTGCACTGACTATTCCAAACTATTTTTATCACTCTACTATTGAAGGTATAAAATCTTGATTTCAATTAAAATCTTTATATCAACCTCTTTATAATTATTATTGATGTTAAGCATAGGGTACTAGGTAAAAATATCGAAATCGGTTGATGAGGATGTGAATTTTCATCCACTGAGGTGGTCGAAACATGTATAACGTATGTCTAACCACTACCTAACTTGACGTGCAATGTTATATAGCATAGGAGTAATTTGGAAAAATATTAGAGGTTAACAAAAATGTGACATCAATCCATGAAGTTATTGAGTGTTGGTCAAACCCATGTTGACAAATGCAGATTACACGGGTGGGATATGCTCGACTAATGACTGGGTGACATGGCTCAGAATCGCGCAGACATATTCACTAGTTAATTTCATCCAGATCCTGAGTTCGTGTATTCTTTCATACATACCTTTTCATTCCATCTTCTCAAACAATATTTTTTCAATGTTTAATCCATTTCACTACTATTACTACTAAAATTATTTTGACTCTTCTATTACTTCATCGTTACATTCACTTGATCTCATCATGTTGATGAAGAAAAGCAACTTGAGCTAACGCACACTTGTGCCGAGCCCTGTATTAACTATTACAATTTGTAAGGATTGATATTTCCCAATTATTTACGTTCAGCACTTCATATGATTATAATCTCCTTAAATGTACATAGAAAACAGATATATTCAATTAATGACGAAATGTATCAGAAGGGGTTTTGTGGATATTATAGTAATTTCAATAGTTGAGATCGTGAGTCAATTGAAGCTAGACCATCATGGAAAACCTGGAAGCACTGGACGGCCGTTTCGTTCTATTGTGGGACTGTTGTGAGATAGTAACTCACTGATGACAATAGTGGATGTGTCACTCAATTTCGTGGATTAGTTCAAGTTAGACCTTAACACCATTGGATGCCGGCTGGCTCAGTAGTCGAATGGTTAAGCGCTCGCGCACGAGACTGATAGGTAATGGGTTATTATTATTATTATTATTATTATTATTATTATTATTATTATTATTATTATTATTATTATTATTATTATTATTATTATTATTATTATAAGTAACCAGATTAATCAGGATTATCTAAGTTTTGTTAACTTTGTAAATGAACATACGACTAATAATCATAATTGATAGAATGTTTAGCATATTAGCAGGATTTCAATCAACAACTTTCAAGTTAACCATTTTGTGTCCAAAATATTGTTGGTTAGTAATTATGGTCAATTTAACAGTATTATTAGTTGTTAAAGTCCTTTAATTTTAGTTATATCATGACATATTTATACCCTTCCCATTTATTCACTTTCTATTGAGTGGCCATATAAAAGTCAGGAAATCACCATTAATGTAGGACGTGGGATGAATATGTATCAATTTAAAAAGCCACGTCTTTGATTGCTCCATTCCATTCCTATAACAGCCAACATTCCACTGAAGAGTGGTTAGGAATGCATAGTACAGTTAATGAACGTTTATAGCACTATCAAAGGATTTGACTTTCTTACCTAGTACTATATCCCAATCTTAGCACTACTCACTCATACAACGTTTATTTACTAAAACTGTGACAACTTTGATCCGTCAGTCAGTAACAACGTGGAACTTCGTACATACGAACATCAGTTCAAGTTGTCATATTACATTAGCACACAGATACAATTGTCGATTTAAATCCCATTGTGGTAGAGGTAGTAAAAGTATAAGCAGTAATCGGAAACATTAGGATTTGAAGATGTTATTCAACGAGTATAATTCAGTGAAATAAATTTGGAAAGAGAAAAAAGAGACAAGGAGGATTCAGGAGATTAGAATTTGGGAGAGCACAAAGAGTGGATGCACTTGACCGCCAAGAATATTTGGATAAAATGAGGTTAATCCTAGAGGATGTTACTAAATTTTCCAAACCTAAGGGAGGAGTTGACAAAACACTGCAAATTGAAAAACAGCTAACAGATGTCAAAAATCTTAAGAATAAGAGGATAATAACCCCAGACTTATATGATCATATACTTCCGATGGGTTCGATCATCCCGCGCTTATATGGACTACCGAAAGCACATAAACCTGGTTTACCGTTACGACCTATTTTGGATATGTCTAGTTCACCATATCACCGAATCGCCCAATGGTTGGCTGAAAAATTGGAACCAGTTAGAAGGCAAGTATCTAAATATTCTATTCTATTTATTGATCGTATTAAGGACGTTAGTACTTCCGGAAAACAAATGTTCTCGATTGACGTTAACTCTGTTCACTAGTGTACATTTAACCGAAACGATATGCTATATATGTGACTATAATGATTCTAACAACATAGATCTAGTGTGTGCTATCTAGGTTTGCTGACTAACCACTTGAAAGAACTATCGTTACGTTATACTTTTAATGACCAGTTCAGTCGCAACAATGAAATATATACACAAAGAGATGGGATCGCAATGGGGTCCAATTTTAGCACTGTTTTATGGCAAAATTGGAAAACGACCAACTCAATTCGTTGACTAATCGATTTCGTCTATACGTAAGAGACATGGACGACACATCTGTCGTTTGTGATGATAATATTGAATTAGAAGATATTTTACACACCTTCAACACATACAACCCTTCCATAGACTTTATGTTAGAAAGTAAGCGAGACCAGTCAATCTCTTCTCTCAGTGTGCGTCTGATGAGAAGGAGTAACGGTTCCTTAAAAAGATACATATTTAGAAAACAAACATGGAATGGCCAGCTGACCAGCCTCTATAGCTGGGTTCCTTTAAGCAGAAAGAGAAATCTCATTCACTTTATGTTATCGAATACATCAGATATGCAGTACGGAATGCATTAACGAAGAACTCGTATTCTTCAGGAAAATTTTGACGAGAAATGGCTATCCAGACCGCTTTATAGATAAGAAAATGAAAAGAATTAGTTATGACAAGGAATCTGGTTGTTCCGTTCTAAAGAAAAACCTCTATATAAGTTTGGAATTTAAAGGTAATTGAACATCTGATGTAATCAAAAACCGTTTAACGACAGAGATTAAAAGAACATTCAATGCGGCAAAACTGTGAATAACGTTCAGTAGCAGGAACCTATTTTCTGTATCCACAAAAGATAAGCTTCCCCATCTGGTCACCTCCATGTGTATCTACCAGTTCACCAGCTATTGTGGAGCAAAGTACGTTGGCCGTAGCCAGTAATCGCTTTCAACTAGGATACGGGAACACGTTCCAGTTTGGTTCTACAAGGGTGAGAGGAAGGCAGTCAGGAGTTCTATACTTGAACACCTAATCGACTGTAATCATTCTACGGATCCACAGTTTGATTTTAAGGTTGTATATACGATTCGTTCAAATCTACCTAGATTTCTTCGTATCCAACTCCTAAGAATAGCTGAAGCTCTTACCATCCATTAGCGCAAGCCAGAAATATGCGTACAAAAGAGGTACATCCTATCGTTATCGTCAACTTGGCCTTTATTATTATTATTATTACGCCATGCCCCCTTTACTTATGTCTCATATTCTCATTATTTTGTTCATAAGTACTCATCGTATCACTATTTTTTAACGCGTCTATGACCTTTAATTATTGTAACAAAAACATTTTAGTCATCTGACTACATCCACGTAATAATAAAACACTAAAAATTCGAAAAAAAAAACCATTAACTAACAGAAGTGATTCACTTACAGTACTTAGTGCTACGAAAAATCCTAATAGTCCACCACCAAGTACATCAGACCAATGATGTTTATTATCGATAATACGTGAATATCCAACAACTAATCCAAGAGCGACATAAATCATTTGAAAACATGTTCTTACACCCGGATACATGCGAGAATGTGAAAATCTCAGTTGAATATAAAGCTGGAAAAAAATAAAATAGATGACTGTATGATCACAGGTGAAAGGTATTTTTCACAATGAATTATGAATAAATGACTTTTGGAAAAGGATTTTTCGAAATGATGCAGTCAGTCAGTCAGCAACAACGTGGAACTTCGTACATACGAACATCAGTTCAAGTTGCCATATTACATTAGCACACAGATACAATTGTCCATTCAAATCCCATTGTGGTAGAGATAGTAAAAGTATAAGCAGTATTCGGAAACATTAGGGTTTGAAGATGTTATTCAACGAGTATAATTCAGTGAAATAAATTTGGAAAGAGAAAAAAGGAACAAGAACAATTCAGAAGATTAGAATTTGGAAGAACACAAAGAGTGGATGCACCTGTGCCATTACAAATCATTTTCAGCAATGTCATTCAAGGTCTCTAACCATCGGTTGCTATCATCTCGCGGTCCTCAACCAGGTAGTCTACACCTACCAATATGACTCAGTCCACTTATCAGTGACTTCATGGACTTGTGCCATGTTTTCGTCTGGCCGCCCCTAGCATTCTTCCAACCTACTCCTACACCACAAAACATCGCACATCGAAGCAGTCAGTGGTTGAGCATACGTAACACAAGTCCCAGCCATCTCAACTGATGAAGTTTCACTACTCCATTAATTGATTTGCCATCCTTACCTAGTACCCGTTTCCTGACAACTGCATTACTTACTTGATGGTCCCGGGATATACGAACAATGCTTCGAAGACACCTATGATCGAATACTAGTAACCTACGGATATCCTCTTCTCTTACAGGCCATGTTTCACTGCCATAAAGTAGGACGGAACGAACTGCTGCGCAGTAAACCCGTCCTTTGGTTGATAGACGGATATCTCGCCTACGCCATAAATGATGCAAGTTGGCAAAAGCTAGTCGAGCCTTCTGTATCCGTGCTGAGATTTCTTCACACACCAGACCACAAAGGCTGATGAGACTTCCAAGATAAGTGAGGCGATCGACACGCTCAATTACTTCACTCCCCATCATTAGTTCGGGTGTCAATGCAACCCAATCCTGAAGCAACATTTCGCATTTCGAGTGGGAGAATCGCATCCCGAACATGCTTGCATTGTTGCTTAGAGTGGTCGGAAGACTCTACATTTTATCAGCGTCTTCACCAAATAAAACTATGTCATCAGCATATTCTAAGTCAAGAAGTGAACCTCCTGGTAGAAGTTCAATCCCTGGAAATCTAGATGAGGAAAGTGTTATCTCTAAAAGTACGTCGACCACAAAGTTGAACAAGAATGGAGAGAGTGGACACCCCTGATGTACACCACTTGAGGTAATCAATTCTGATGACAGTTCGCCATAAGCTCTCACTCTACCAGTTGTATTCGAGTAGAGAGCCTTTATACGGTTAATGTACTTCTTTGGTACTCATTTTAGTGACAAACACTGCCATAGAACCTCACGATCAACAGAGTCGAATGGCGCCCTAGGGTCGAGAAATACTACCATTGTGGGGCGATCCCACAGTAACTAGTGACCAATAATTGATTCATATGCCATTTGTTCCTTCACGATACTGGAGCCCATGTACACCATTGGTGTGGACCAGGGTTTTCCAACTCACCTAGGTGGACTCTTCGTGCCCACCAACCCGGCTAAAGCGCCGGATATTCGCTTTTCGTCTTCTCAATTTCGTAAAAATCAGTCCCGCTGCGAGATGGCAGTGAGTAAGACTTTCATGGCAGTGGTTGTATGCACGTGACCATGTGAGAGCATTTCGGGAGAGAAAGCTGACTTTCCCCACTCTCGGCCATATCAGGGCATTTGGGGGCAAATTATTAAATAATTATTAGTTACAGAATTTATTAACCGCATAATCACCACTCAAACACGAAATCATACAGAATTGAAAATAAAATCAACTGATTCCATAATGCATAAATCGAGAAGTGAAAATGCACTGAAAGTCAATAAATGAAGTCGTCCTCAATGTGGTACTTGGTGATTCAGCATCCTCAAAAAGTAATGCTTGATTTTAAATAAAGTCTTTCATTAACAGTTTTTTATGTCATCAGTTACGTTGCTATGCATATGAAAATTTTGCTGCATTGACTTTTATGGATGAATTATATTAAATCTCGAAAATACTTTTTTAACTGGCATAAATAACAATATTTTGTATAATTCATCTGATCATGAGATGGCGGAGAAGATTTGTAGCTGAGGTGGATGATTTTGATGGAGTTTTGTTCTTTGAGCTGGACTTCTATCTGAATTTAATGCTGAGGGTGTCGTTCAGAAGAACGATGAAAGCTCTATGACCAAACCATCCAGCTCAGAGAACAAAACTCCATCAAAATCATCTGATAATCCTAGAAAAAAGATATTAACTACAGTTTTAACATTTAATTCATTTTTTTTCAGACGTATTATCCAGTCTTTTTTGAGACCAAGAGGTAGAGGTTAATTTTCTAAAACAATATGAAAAAACCAAAGAAAACAAGAGGATATTTACTTTGTCTAACCGTGTAAACTGATAAATGTTTATTACCTAGTTGGTAAAGTCCGTAGTTATGGACTACAGAGGAATTTTGACGAGTAATGACCATACCCTCCACTCGCAACTAAATCAGAAATGGAAGACAAACACTGACTAATATATTTACTAAATAAACATTTAGACGACACAGCCACCTATCATACATTAAAGATAAATCGACTTCCAATGTTGCACGGATTACGGTTATACAAACAATTCAATCGTAAAATCTTGTAAGTGATAAAAACGGAGAACATCTTCAACAAAACTACTCAAAATTTCAAATACTCGATCACAACCTGTTATAAATCTCTCTTTTCTTACGGTTATGACCCAGCTATTCCTATTGCTTAGTATTCTCAGGCACCGATTCACTCGACAAGTCCCCAAATCAAAACACGGTTGAACAGGAAGAGATTATATTCCAAATAACAAGGTTAGATGGAAGTAAGAAGCAAGTCAGAAGCACAATAGAGAAAACGTCAGTATATTTATAGTTTTTACATAAGAAGATTTCCAGAGTATTCTATAACTACCGACTAGTGCTGATTGGATAAGAATTAGCCAATCAGCGTGCACCAAAGCAATCATGCATTGAGCATGCTTTAATCCAGTCTATGTCCCGCTAACACAACCACAAAGAAACTCATGACCTACGGGTCTTGAGGTGAAAAAAGCAAACACTGTTATAATTCTGTGATCTACGGTTCGGTCATTCAATTATAATCACCGTTAGGTATTATTTTTAACATGGAATGATATCCGATAGGAAATCAAGAATAAGCACAAAACGATAAATAGTAGTTTTTTCCAGTCTTAGCGACGATTATGAAAGTGAATTTTTAACCACTTTGGCTAATAAAGTCAGCACATTCAAACCGTACAACTAGATAACATTCAAGCTACCACGCTTTAAAAGTCAGTAAAACTATATACATTTTTTAAAAAAAATATAGTATTTTAAGTTGACTGAAAAAACTGACTGAAGTGTAAAAGATTAGAGGGGTGACAGGCATATTTCGTTTAGCCGCTAAACTATGGTATAAGCTCTACTGGAGCACTGGTTCGAACCCGTTACCTGAAGTCAAGATTAGCAATCCGATAGTATCATTAACCCATACAAAAACTGTTTAAAGGCCGAGTATATGAACCTGTTACTTTGTTATTGAAACAAAAAACCATTCCACTCAAACTAAATAAGAAAAAATATGACAACTTAAGTTTGTCTAATAATCATAAAAATGTATGGTTTTGAAAAAGTAATTGGGTTAACTCACACATAGAAATATAGCGGTATATATTGCAATTGAGGTATGTCCAGATGGGAAAGATTTTCTATACATATAAAATTGGAATGAAATGAACAAAAAAGAATGTAAGATAGAACTGATGATAAAAAGTTGATTACAATTATTAGATAGCACCTACATAAACCCGTACGCATCGTGTAAAGACAATAAAAAGTCAGTATCATACTGCTAATCATTATTACGATTTTCCAGTTGAAGTTGTTTATTTAGTCAATACCTCCAATTTGAAATGTATATAATTAAAAGGCCATAAAGTTCATGAAGAGACCAGTGATTCTTATGTCACACAGTGACAGAACTGAGCTGAGTAGATATTGTTGTTAAGCAGACTAGATAAATTGAACACTTTTTATGTCACTGAAGCTCTCCGTGAAATCACTATGTCTGAGTAGTGTAAGTAGGTCTAGACTATGGTATTAGAATTTGAGGGATAATCGATATTAGTGGGTAGGAAAATACCTGAAGACTATCTTTCAAAAGAACGGCTACCCAATCAAGTTGATCGAAAAATACCAGCCAGACGCATCAGCAGAAACAAAGTCAAGTACAGAAACCAACAAAAGGATCATCCTTCCATATATAAAAGGCATATGAGAAACTACAACGAGATTGTTGAAGCCTTTTGGAATAGGTGTAGCACACAAACCAACTAAATCACTTCAGTCAATCTTATGCAAACCATAGGACGAAATGATAAAGGAAGAGAAACCGAACATCAACCACAAAATAAATTGTTCCGACTGAGAAAAGCACTACATTGAACAAAGCGGACGCCCTCTTCATCTTTGCCTGCATTAATTTATATCACTGCATGTGGACAACTGTGGACAAGCATTCGAATGGAAAGACGTTTAGATCTTGGATAGAGGAAGTTCTAAAAACACCCGAGAATTTTTAGAAGCTTGACATTCAGATCAGTCAGTAATCAACAAACACATTGAAATCGATCCAATTTATCAACCAATCAGAAAGATTATGGACAAATATAAAACCAAAAATCAAATCAATGGGAGATAGAACCAAAATAAAGAAGTAAACAATGACAGGTTAAAGGTCAACAATAACCAATCAACATCGAGGTCTACAGGACAAGTTGTGAGCCATATGTGAGGAAATTCGAACACTTTAACTTCTACCTGAAGTTTGTGCTGATGGTGTCGTTCAGAATAACGACGAAAACCCAAAGACCACACCATCCAGCTCAGAACAAAACTCCATCAAAAACTATGTTTAGCCTTTTTGCCATTATCGATTGTACTATTATTTCGATTTTCACGGTTAACAAGAGATAAACTGATCATAATTTTGCATTTCGGCCTCAGTACTCATATTAGCTTTAAGGTTTGAATAGGGAAAAGCCTATAGTTTATGCTGATGTAGATTCAGGAAGGTAATACTGAGTTTGCACATACTTTTACTGTATACAGCATATCAATAATTATTTACTGATACTGAATTACTTAGAAATTAAGAAAATAATCAGCCTTTCACAGTTCATCGGGAAATGAAGAACGTTCACGTTGAATTAACGTCTTTTAAAGCACGATGACTTATTAGATGGAATCTTAAAAACAGTTAACGGCTCAAAAGTTTGTTAGAGATGCTACATACTTTAATGTAATACTCATTGTCTATTGTGTTTTAAAAGATATCATAACTAAATGTTTTAAAAAAGATTCAGAAAGTATGCAAACGTAAATACCGAACATGGATTACAAATTTGAATGTTTTTATCCTTTTAGTTGGAGAGTTAAATAGGCTTAACACCGCATAGAATGAAAAACATCATGTAAAATTGTTACAATGTCTAAACATCATGAAAGAGTTCCAATAACTTTAGAACGTTTAACAAATAAATTCGACGCATTTAAACGTGACTGAACAAATGGATTGACACCATCAACATCGATTCCAACACAGGTGTGCGCTAGCCCATGTCAAAATACCGTATTAGCATGACAAGATGACGATAAGAAAATAGAGAAATAATATAGTAGTAATGCTGAGAAGATTAAGAGTTGGGAATATAATTTGAAAAGGCATGGCTGGAGAGATATTCGAGTTTAATGGCGAGAATTAAGTAAAGATTTAATGTATCTACACCATAATTTCGTCCCATGTCACCCAAAGCCTCCGAACATTGAGCGCGATTATCATACATACCCCAACCAAGTAATTTGCATCTACCAACAGTGAGTGACTTTATGGACTGATATGATTTTTAGGTCTGGTCACCTCCAGATCTTTTCCGATTTACTCCAGCATTAGAAAGCATCGCTTGTCGAGGTTGCCGGTGATTGCATTACTATCAAAAAGCTTTGATATATTGTCGTAAATATTGTAAAACATTCTTATCACACACTGAAAGATTATTTTAAGACCTTCCTTGAAAAACTATTCGAGTTAAACAAGCTGTTGAAGTAGTTCCATCCGAATAAATTGAAGATAAAAAGTACAGCGGATAAACATAGTTATGTAGTAGCGTACTATAGCACGGCATAGCTCGATTATATAATCCTAACTTTCTATTAACTGAGTAGTTAAACACGTCCGTTTACCAAACATAGATTCACGTTTATTGTGAATGCTGATAAGCATTACCCGATTGATAAATTGAATGAAGCAAAATATCAAAGCTGATTTATCACTCGAAGGACCACAGGAACCTTACCAAGTGAAAGTTGAACTAATCAGTAAAAGACAAAGCTCTGTATTTTGAAAAATCTATGGATTATGAAGGCGTTACTTTCACAGAACAAGAAATGTTTCTATGAATCGAAAATTTGAAATCTACCATAAAAACAAGCGTCATAGCCATCTTGTCAACAAAAACTGGTTATTACCTCAGGCCACTTGATTTGTCTGATGAACAAGTAAAATTACCAACAAAACCCAAGATCGTAGTTTGAAGGTCAGAAGGTTTGCATGCATCAAGAAAATTTGGACGGAGACGACCAAATGAAACTTTACCTACATCCGTAAGACCGATAGTAGCAAAGTAGCCAAAACAAGCAACAATGAGAGAATCATAAATTGGATATAAAACCTACAAAGTTAAAAATTTCATGATTTCTAATCCGATAAACAAACCACCGGTATTCTATGATGAGTTTTTCTTAAAGATTTTGCACTAACAATTACTTCACCGACAACTATCTGAAAGCAAATTAATATAAAATTCTGAGAGTAGGACGAAAATACCGTAATCAGTATTAGTAGTGAGGAAACTACATAAAGGACAGTACTTGAGATAGTGTTCTGTCTAAATGGTTTTTTGATTGATTCATCTTGAACAAAGTATCCTCTTTTGTACGGATCAACATTCTGCAGAACGGTATTGGTGACTATCACTATAAATTGAGAATGGTTTGTGTGTGAAATAAACTGAAATTACAAGCAACAATAAAACCCAAATCCGATCCCACTCTAATTATACCGTCAATCAAGGGTTTCATAATAAACGATACCAAATAACAGTAGGATCTCAACACACTAATGATTTTGAAAATAAGAAAAAATGCACCAGCGTTATTGAAAAACAACATAAAACAAGGAGGAAAAAAACATTTTAAATAATTTTGTAAAGCAAGAAATGAATATGACATCTTACCAGTTTTCAGTAGTTAACATCTAGAAATTTACTAAACAGTAAGGCGATTTTTCCTTGACAAAAAATTTTTTTCAGGTGGACGAGCATTACCAGGACTGGATAGTACCTTCAAGGACATACTGAGTCTTCAAGTAACTAATAATTTTAGGAAACAATGTAGGCCTCTTAGTTTATCCACATTTATTATAACTGAAGATTAGCCTTATCAATAAGGAAAATATGATAGCTAATCTCAATACTGTTTTATCTTGTACTCAACCATATATGGTGATTCTCCGTTATCCTATACATACATATAGCACAAATATATCAACCAAACCCAGTTTGCTTGATTAAACTTAAATATCAACCAGTAGACGTACGTCGTTAAGTAAAATAGGTGGGTAAAAGATACCTCAATCTCCACATTTTCGGGAAAATTTTGTTTGTTTGGGGTAAATTTTGGGGAAACCGAAATAGAAAACTTTGGGGAAACAGCAAAAAAACCTCAGCATTTCCCCAGGTCTGGGGAAAATCCACAAATGTTTGCGGAAATTTAGGGTTTTCCCCAATATTTGCACAGAATCTTATAACACTTTGGGGAAAACTACCATATTTCTTACGACTTTGAGGAAAACCCAGAAATTTACCCAAAATAATGAAATTGAAATGCATGAAATTCATGTTGAAACTGCAGATGATTCAATGAAAAAACATATCGTATTCAGTCACACGATGAGAAATTCATGTCATTCTATATATGTAAGACATACATAATTAGGAACTTCAGTCAACAAAACACAAATATCACGATAAATGTGACATCCTCAAACCCTGCGCGTTGCCGTAGAGAGAATTAAACATACATAAAATCACTATAACAAGTGAAATATGATTGATTTATTGGAGAACACTATTCGTACTTTACGTTTGTAAAGAAGGGCTAAAAGTCATCGACATATAGTGAAATATGTAGCAAATCTTCCTAAAGGATAAATCAATATAAAATCCAGTATTTTTGTCACAAGCTTGTATAAACCTATTGATTTCTTGGCTCTCGCTTCTTGTTGTTCTTGTACAGTTCCGGGTATTCCATAGTGACCAACAGGTAATATTCCAGTCATTTGACCTTTCGTTTTTAAATCCCCTATAGCATGACATACGTGTTGTCGCTCATGACTACACCGATGCACATATATGCATCTTGTTCTCAATTGCCCGGTGTTATAATAACAGGTCTTTATTATACTTACTGTCTGCGTTTACAGATTTCAGTGATATATTCATTATATGCTTTATCTGGATGTACATCTCGAACTATAACAATTGTGATTGGGATTATTAATCACTTATAAATGTGGATTACCAGACCAAAACAAACACAAACATGCCAACTACTGACAATCTGAGTGACATCTTGTATATTTTTCTTGGATATATAATTTACATTTGATATATTGTCATATTAATTTTTGACGTGGTAGCTTTTTTATTATTTTTGGAATTGATATATTTTCGGTCCACCACAGAAGTAGAGTTTCTGGATACCAGCAGCTGCCACATTACAGACAAGAGGTTGGCCGATTGCAGTATAAAAATAATAGTGATAATCCGCGCACTAAGAGAACACGATTGTTTCAAGAGTAAATAAATAAGTGGCTTAACTGATAATGTCCAAGAACATCAAAATGATTGATTACGCGAGTAACGGAGATGATAATAAGACAAATGGGAAGTAGTTACTAGTTGTGCAGTAATAATAACTGTGTTAATTTATGAGACATGCACCAGACACTGATGGTACAAAAGGGACATGGTAATCCACAGGTGAGTACTTGTTCGTCAAGTCACCTCTTCCATTGAGGGGATGTGGATAGCATTCCAGATGGGTCAACTCGTAACGAGAAATTTGAGAGCGTACTTGGGCGTCCGCTCTTTGATGTGCAATCTTTTCGGGAGCGGCTTTGAAGAGTGGGGTATTTATGTTCTGTGCTCAATGTGTGTGTGTGTGTCAATATCAGACCACTTCTCATTCTCCTGTAGCTCAGTGAGGATAATCTCAGTATATGTAGTCTGTTCTCGTAAGATTTATGTTTTAGCCCTATTACCTATTTGGTTGCCTGTCTCTGTACTTGGTCCAAGAGATTTATCTCTTCTTCAAGCAAGGGGAGCATAGCGACCTCATGGACTTCAGGGTGGGGCCATGAGTACGCTTTAAATAGTACCAGGAACAACTCTGAGGAGATTGCGTTAAGTTGCCAAATCACAAAGTGGAGAGTTGTGTTTGTCTTGACTGTATCCTCAATTTAGTTTGAACTGATTTCTAAGCTTTCTGCGGTTACAAGCCCGAGACCATGCTCTGGGAAGATAATCGGGAGTGGATTCCCATGGAGAGTGTAAGTGCTATTTGTCGAATGAGGCAGAATGTTCATGACAAGACATTTCGACAGATCAAGTTTTGACCTGTTTTTTACTGCTCATTCCCCTGTTGTCCTAACATTTTTTTCAAGCTCCTGTGAATCTCATCCGCCTTCCATGGATCTCCATATCTTTGCGTCATTTACATAGATCAGTGCTAACAAGGTTATCTTTACTTGCAGGTCGATAATACAGATTTAGAACAGGAGTGAACCTATCATCCCTTATAAAACTCATGATTGTGAAATTTTCCAACTGGTGTGCATTCTAGTTAGTAGGTCACCTCTAAGACGCCGGGTAAAAGTTTAGTGATTGCGGACGCTCCTCGTAAGACTTGATACTGGGTCCCCTAGTTGATTTCGTGACTTGCCGCTGAATACGTGCCAGGGAGTCCTTATCCTTTTGAAGTTAGGGAGGATATACTATGTTTCCCCACTCTGGTGACAAATAAAACTGTTCACGATTATGTGGAAAGTTTTTCTGTCGAAATGGTCGAAAATGCGCCTCAATGTTACCAGTGCAAGGTTCGCTCGAAGGCATTTCTGTCATAGTTAGCGTAAGACTTCAAATCGTAGGGTACAAGCACTCCCAAATCTTTTTCAATTTGGGACACTTCTAGAGGGGAGTCGCCTTAGTTCTAACTTTAGTCTGAGATATGCCACAGATGGACTACTTTATACTTTGAAGTATTAGAAGTAAGTCCTTTGTCATTTGCCCAACTCTGAAGTCGAGTCAGATCCTTCTGGTTGCGTATCTCTCACAGAAGTTTCTCATCATCGGCAAAATGTAATAAGTCTGACGATACCTGTTGTGGAGGATCGTTTATATAAATCAAGGAAAGAACAGGTCCCAGTGCTGAACCCTGAGGGACCCCACTAGGACACTCCAAAGCCTGAGAGAAATTCAAGTTAACTCTGACCTTAAAATGCCAATATTTTAAATAGGAAGTGGACCGATCAAAAGTGATTGGACACCCAATCGTTTGAGCTTATTGGTAAGACACTTATAGTTGACCCTATCAGAGGCTTTTGAGAAGTCGAGGTAAATGACGTCAATCTTCCCCTTGCTATCAGGAATGGTTGTCCATCTGTTCACCACAGTCAGCAGGTTAGTTATACAATGATGACACTTTCTGAAACTGTGCAGTTGAGGCGAAAAGAAGTTTAAGGATAAAAAATAGTCATGTAGACCATCGCACATCAGGGAATTCGTAATTTTCGAAGGTGTAGAGAGAACAGCCACCGGTCGATAGCTTGAAGGTCTGCTGCGCTGACCTCTTTTGAAAATTGGTGTGATGTGAGCCAGCTTCCGAATTTCCGGTAACGTGTCTCGGCTTGACGGGTGTAAGAACATCACGTCAAGCAGTGTTGCCAGGATTGAAGCTGCTTCCCTCAGTATAGCAGAAGAAACCACATCCGAATCAGGAGAAGTGTCACTTTTAGGTGCTGCCGTTTCCGGCACGCCAAGCCAGCGCTCAGGTTCACTTCGGAAAGCCCTGTGAAGTTGCAGATAAAGCTTTTATCAATAAAGATAGTGAAGGCCATCCTTGGCTGCTTTGAAGACCGTACAACACAAGGGACGTTGTCAAGGAAATATATTAGTAAGAATGAGCACAGAGAAGTTAGTGAGACCAACACCGCATGCGCCAGTCCATGGCATACGGTTAACCGATGCGCGTTGGTTGCCCTTGACATTGACGAGGATCGATGATTTGTTCGATATTCTATGACACGACTGCAGGATGATTTGGCAAAGGGCTCAGTGACATTTCACTGGCCGTACACTACTCCCCCTCCAGATTCAACGGCCGTTTGAATCAATACCAAACATTTTGGGTGTAGTCGCGCCGGAGATAGCCAAACGATCAATATGAATCCTTCGAGTATTGCCGATCTGTAAGACGAATGGAAAAAGGCGGCAGAAACTGATCGGAAAAACAGCGAGTAATAATATGTTAGTAGGACGTTGGTTGAATGTTGAGCGATTAACCATAAAGATAACAGAAAAAACCTGGCGTTTTAAATTTCTATCAAGTCGCGTTGAAACAGATACCTCTGACAAGTTATTGAGTTCCTCAAACGAGAAGTTTGCCGCAAGAGTAATAAAACCATATTCGAGGACTATGGTGGGGTTCGTGGAGAATTTCAGAGGTCCTTTAGATAGTTTCCAAATCCGCATTGCATGTAAATAAACCGAAAACGGAATTAAAATGACTGTCGTATAATGAAGAAGTCCAGTCATAATTTACCGTGTGAAATAATAGCAAATAAAAAGAGTATAGTAAACATTAATTAAAATGGTAACCACCATTGTAGAGGTTTCAGGTAACGTGGCCATTTCGTAAAAGGCTGATGCAAAGAGCTTATTACCTAGCGTTAAGCGACATATTACGTACGACAAGGTGTCTAGTTAGGACATGGACTAAGATTGCCCGTGTACATGCAGTATGCTTTACCACAGTATGTCGAATTACGAGTCATAAATGTACATGATTTCAACCAGAATATATAACTTTTTTACTTGAAGGAACTACGAAATGTTATCAGGCATCACAAACATAATACGAAATAATCTAAAGCAACTATGAAACTCGCTTGAATTACTTTTGCTTACAAGTGATGAAAATGTGGAGCTGGATTATATACGAGGTATTGGTGAATTAGTTATTGGATTAACAAAACGTTGTAGACTGAATTTGTATAAGTCCAAAATTAATTTAAATCAAATACGTAGCGTTGTCTGACGAACAGTCTAAACGAGATCTAAGATTGAAGGAAATTTATGATCCAAATACACCGCAACTTTCTAGCATTTGTATCCTCTGTTTGTCCATGAAACTAAGCAACTGCAAATTTCACTAGCCCTACAACATCCCCTTAAACACTTACTTAAGTTAAGCTCCAACACAACCCTAACGGGTTATACCCAGAAACTGGAGACACAACTCAGCAGAACGGACTGTAGGCACAACTTCTACTCCTTAAGTGTTGTGAAATGCTGGAATTCGCTGCCAGCTGAGTTAGTTCAAGCGACTTCCCAGTAGTCCTCTAAGAGGAAACTTAACATCTATTTAAAGACTAAGGATGGTATCTTGTTATGATTTACCGATTTCACTCTCCTCTTTTATCGTTAATATACCTAGGTTCCTGCCTGAATGTATTGGTGATCCACTGCTACTAGACACGGAAGCCCGTTAAGCGAAGGCTTCTTCTATTCCATCCACAACCATTTGAACCATTCGAAGGTCGAGATAACGTCAAGGAGGCCGACCTAGACCTTCCTTTTCATTCTTCAGAGATGAGGGGCGTCTCTAGAAATTGTGCTTCATGACGTTGCCACTTGTAACGAAGTCACTTGTTTTCGTTTGAAGATGGCACAGGTATTCAGTGTTTGACAACGCTACTCGACTTAGGAGAAACACGTAGACCAAAGATATTTATATAATACTCGAAGTCAGATAAGTGCACTGTAATACCGAATACGTAGCGGACTCGTTGGAAAGATACCTA